GCTTTTAGGAGAAAAAAAACGTTTTCTTCTCAATTGACCAGGAGGACCCTCGCCAATGCTCTCTACCCTCACACCATTGCCTCCCTCATAGGAACAGTCCAAGCTCTTCTGTATATTTCCGTCGTTTTAAATTCTCCTTCGGTTCTGATCAAAAATCAAAAAATTCACGTTCTTATGTCGTATGCCAATTTCGGTAGCGCCTCATTTATTCCGGATTTTCTGGTTGTTATTCCAAAAAGTTTATTGTGTTTATTGGATCTTTGCACCAAATGACACGTCTTAAACTGTTCTTCAATGTAGAACATTTTCTCTCTTTCTCATTAAATTTTAATTCTTCTAGAAAAAACTTGAACTACTTGACTATTCCGGTAAGTGAGAAGTTGAAAGTAGTTAAGACTACTTAGATAGATTTCAAGACTCTTTGTTTATTGAACACGTCATTTCAATCTACCTTATTGTTTGTACATGCAGACTTACAAGATATATTTGTATTCGAGTTGTAAGTCTGCGGCTGTCAGTCTCCGTTCGACTTAGTCGACTCAAAATGCACATTAAGACAGATTAAAGCTAATGCCTTTTGTCACACCTTCAACACGTCAAAGCGCGTCAATTGATCTTCAAATCTTGCTCTCGAAATGCCAGCGAATGCATAAAAATGAACTGGCGACACCATTGTTGTTATTTATGGCTTTTAGCATCTTCTTAAGCCAATTTGACGGAATATAAGAGAGAAAAAGACTTTTTTTATGTTAACACTTTGAATTATTGCATGTTTGACCAGTTGAATTGAATAGCAGCACAAAACCGGAATTCTTGAATTGATTGACAAGTCAACTATTTCTCAAGTAGAGAACATAGATAATGCTAATGAAAAGTAAACAACGGATTAATCTTCGGCAGCAGAAAAATTCGTTAGAAAAAAAATAGCAGTCAAAAAAAAAATTGGCGATTGTCCAAGAATCGTTATCAAAACTCGATCAGAAATTAGTGGACACATAATTCAAAACGAAATTAGAAATGATCTGATAAAATATCGATTTTATTAAAACATAAAAAAACAAGAAAGTAGACAAAGACACGGTAACTCAATGGAAGAAAAAATGCCAAATCGAATTTTGATAATGAAAAAAGTTTAAAAGAGTAATGAACACCCGGCCTGGCTAATGAACAGTGAGAGGACAGTTATGTAAAATGAGAAAAAATGGAAGAAAAAATGACTTTAAATTCGGAATTTCGAACGAAAATTGGCCAAATCGCAAATTATACGAAGTTTTCGGAAGCCGATTTGCTGTATTCGTAGGGTGATAGCAATCGGTTATATTTAAAAATTGCAAAAAATCAGAAACCAAGTCCCAAATGTGTAATCGGAAACAGAAGTAAAAAAAGTCAAAAAATGTGGACCGAATGCGATATAGATTCTCAAAGTTTTCTATCTAGTCAAAGTAGGCATATGATTATTTTGAGCTTTGCTATGTCTATTTTACTGACGAAAAAAATTTAAATTCAAGTAACCCTAGAAACGAATGTCATTCATGTAAAATTAACCAAACAAAAAGAACGTACAAAATTCGTATTAAAATTTGTAAAATTTCTGTGCAAATTACCCAGTAAAATTGCGTATTGTGTGAGAAAAAAATGGAATCCCGAAATTTAATGAATTTGATTTACAATGCAGCTCGTCAACTTGCAAATGGTGTGGTTCAACTCCAAATGGACTCCAACAATAATTATGATCGTGAAACTGAGCAGGGATTAATATATGATTTTTATGCTCGGATTCGTTTTGGGGTCGAACAATTTTTACTGGACCACCCAACATTTAAACGAAGACACCAATTTCGGAAACTATATTATGACATTCAAATCAAGTGAATTTTTATCATATCTATCAAATGTTTGTTTCAATACAATGTTCATAATTTTTCAGATTTAATGAAGGCATACAACCGTTGGAAGATTTTCTGCAAGATTTTTTTGGTGAATCAATAAATGACAGTATAACGTTTCAAAATGTTCTCCAGCGAACTTTGGGCATATTTCGAGAAGTATGGGAAAATGCGAGATAAATCATTAAAGATCGTGTTCGAATGTATTCGAAACTGAAAACATAAATTCAACTTTTTTCTTGTTTCATTATTAAAACTTTGAATTAGAACGGCAATACAGTCACCAAAATAAGAAAAAATCGAAATGGTTTCGTTTATCTCAAGATAACATGGTTGAAAATCGAGCAAATTTATGTAATTCTCTAATTTTATCGAAAGTCCACCGCCCACGTAAAAACTCAATTAACACAGATATGTTAAATTCCTTCGACTTGAGCTGGTCGGTCGCATTCTCAAATCAATTTACTAATACACAAAATCCATGTAAACTAATTAAAAACCACGGTTAATTTTCGACGAAAGTCCAAAAATACCACTTTCGTTTCGTGCAAACAAAGACCGTGTGAATAACTACATAACTAACCTATCTCAATCGCGGTAATTTTTATGCATGAGCGGCGAATAATGAAGTGAAAAAAAGAGAAAGACAGAAAAGAGAGAAGGAGAGTGAGGGGAAGAGAGAGAAGAGAAAAAGCAAACAGTAATAATAATAATAATATGCACAAAGATAGATGGGTTATTGTATATAAATTGTTTGTTTATACAAATCGTGTGCATTGATGGACACAAAAGCATTCATATTATTATGAGAAATAAAATGGAATGGGTGATTACGAAAAAAATAAACTGGTTCAGAAATTCTTGTCGTTGTTTAATGAAAAAACCGTCATTATTTATGTATGTTTCTGGCAAGAGCCGGGTGACTGTGTCATGTGACTCGAATGGGAATGTATGCAATTTTTTTAAGTAAAATAAATTGAAAATAATATTTTAATCAGATTTAATTCGATCGAAGGTGCTTTAAATTGCGCACCGTATGGCGTTCAGGCAATAAAATGGGTTGGTAAGCTCCCGTGGATGTGTATGATTGTTGTATGTGTCTGGTAGTTTGCATGTGGAGCGATGATGGCCATCGTTATCTGTCATCCATTTAGCAGCGGCCGAACGAGAGAAAAAATCTGTGCCATTGAAGTTAATGGTATTTGAATGAATATGGCAAATGTTCAGACAGCAATATTCACCGTCGCACGCAATGTTCGGTTGTGCGCATGAATCAGCGCGATTTATCCAGCCAGTCGAGTTGTCGTCGTCGCTTCGAATTACTTATGCTTTTTTTGGAAATATTATGCCCCGAACAATGCACTCTCGAATGGCACAAGAGCATGCGCAACAACGACAACGACGACGACACCACTGTAAATGGTAAAATTGATGGCGTGCAATGTGTGAAAAAGTCAAAGGCAATGAAACCGTCGATGTGACGAGAGTTGTATGCCTTTTAATCGATGATCGTTCATTGTGTGCATGTGTAATTTAAAACCAAAATCACTTTCAAGACAAAATGCCAACGAAACAATCGCAATTGCAGTCCAAAACGTCTGTCTCGTCTTTTGCTCTCTTTCGTACCTTTTTGCAATTACGGTTGCAATTTTTACTCACGTGACTCGGTGCAGAAAAGCCAAATCATGCATCTCATCCCAAGATCGAGCACTCTCAAGCAATGCTCTCAAGTCTCCGAAACTCTTGAAACACTTTAAATGCTCTTTAGTACATTAATTGCCAACCAACCAGATACACATCTTCAATAAACACACACACACTTTCGATCCAAGGATGGAATTCATAAAGTCTATCAAAATATACACATATATTCTTTTTTTGTTCAATCTATGATTAATTGAACATTCTTCATTTTATCGCATCGCGATCGGTTTCACCTTTTAATTAGTACCGACAATCGAACTCTTTTATAAGATTCTGTTTTGAACAACCCAACAAAGCATTTATTGATTGATAAATGGCGAAAAATAACAAATAATTACTATTCTATGGATTTTATTGCACATTGTACGAAACACAAAAGGTGTGAAGTAACAACAAGCTTGAGCATCACACCAAACACACACACAAACGAAACTTTTCTTCTTCAATGATACATCTTTTGAACCGATTAACAAAAAGAATCATGAAAGGTCAACGATGTTAATAGATTCGGCGTTTATTATGAATCATAAAATTCTGAAATTACCGTTTTAATGTGATTCACAGACTTTTCGATGTGAAATGGCATTTATGGTTTTTTTTCCGTAAATTCCTTTGGTTTGCGCATCTTAAATTCTTTGCGTTCAATTTTGATTTTTTTGGCCAGATTTTCACACTTTTTTTATGTTTGTGTGGAAAGATCATCATTTTTAATTTTTACATGGATTTTTTTGGGAATTTGAGCCGATTTCTAAAAATAGAATTTTTTATTACTTTTCTGCCCAAACCTACAAAAGGTATTGTTTTCAGTGGAGAATATTAGAAAAATCACACCTAGATCGAAAGTTGTCAAGTATTCGAATATGAAAAAAAAAAATATTTTTAGAAATTGCGATTTCATGCATAATTTTTGAACTTTTAGTTTTTAAACGCATAAAATGGCAATTTGTCGAATGAAAATTCAATTTTGTCATTCTTAACTTTTCTTGTTTTTTGCTCATTCAATTTTCGTTTTTGCTTTTAAATAATCAAAATTCCGACTCGTTGGCTTAAAGATCCATCAGCCGTGTTTTTCAGAACATTTACCAAAGATGTGAGTAAATATGACGGTTTTTTCGAATTTATGAGAAATTCCCGTTCAAATGATTACGAAACGATCTCACGATATCAAAGAAGTAATAAAAATGGCACTTAAAATCTGAATCTTTTGTAGTCCAAAAGCTTTTACATAACTTTTTTCGCTTTTCATTTCTCTTTTCTCAAAAATTGCAAATTGGCAATTTGAAAATGGCCTAAAGTATTATTCCAAAAAATCAACAAACGACAAGAACACTCAAAAACCTTGTAAAAACCGTTCATTTCTAAAAAATAAAATAAATTTTTAGCATTTTACGTAATATTGCCACACTTTACCACACTTTTGTGAAATTGATGTAAAAGTAGAAGTTCACTGCAGTCAGCTGGTGTTGTAAAAGAAAATTAGAATGTTTCGTCTGTCCAAAAATTGTGAAAATACACAACACTAACAAAGCACTTGATTGTTCGAAATTGAAAATTGCATAAGTGAGAACCCACGGAACGCGACTCAAAAAATCAAATAAACTGCTGAGAAAAATAGAAACGGTAACTAATTGAGCGAACGAGAGTGGTAAATTGCACGTTTGATCAGATCGAAGATCTATGAAAAACTGATGATCGTTTTGCTGTACCGAACACACACAGCATTCATAGTTTTGCATTGCAAAGTAAACAAAAACTGAACGGATGCGGGCGATCGCAAAGTGTGTATGCCGAAAGAAATGCGCGAAATAGTCAAAATAGCGAAACGCTTTACAGTGTCTAGCGGCGCGCATGTAACCGCAAAACAATGGTGTGTGCAAATGCAACACCAACGGAATCGTTTTTGCCGAAATTCAGCGGAACGACTGTAGGTGCGCGAAACCAACAACGGGAGTGGGAGACAGCAAGTTCGCGTATGCGCACAATTTTATTTTGAAATGATGATGATGATGATGATGCTGTTTAAACAGCTTTTAAGCGCATCACAAAGCAGTAATAACATTAATGTTTCAATATTTCGATTTAATTGAATTGTACACCATTTAACCACCGCTTGCTGCCCACCACACACAGCTTTTTTCAGCACTGCATTGTTTACCATTTATCACAACTTTTGCGAATTTTCAACATTTTTTACGTACAACACCGATTTGATCATGTGATTCGGCGTAGTTACCAAATACAACTGAAATACGAAGGAATTCTTTTTGCACAAGTGTTTTCTTTTAATGAGCCAAGAGAGATGCCACACACACTCTTGGTACAACACGCAAATGAGCACGATGAATACCGCACATGGTTTGCTATTGAAAACACGATTTTATTGCAATACCCGAAGCCAATTCAGCATGCCGAGTATGCATATTTCACCGATTTTTCGAATTGTTTTTTTGTAGGCATGCTGCGAAGGGAAATGACGACTCATTTAACAAATTGACGGAGACATTTCGAATATTTCGAACTTTTTAGCCGTTTTTCGCTTAATATTTTGAACGGCGATTTCTTAATCGTATTTGAAAAATTGGCTCCCATTTTGACAACACATTGAAAAATAATAGATTTTTTTGAGAATTGGGTCGGGGATCCATTGAATTATTTGGGGGTCTATTGCGATTTAAAATGAAATCAAGTCAACCAAACAAAAGATTTTTAATAGTTTTGTCAATTATTCATCGACGGATTGGACGGAGTTTGCACTTGTGAGCAGATTCCAACTTTTTTGTTATTTTACTTGGAATTTTCTCAACTTTTGAACGAAAAACTCAAATTTATATGGAAAAAGTTTTTTTAATGGAAAGAACGAGAAATAGTGAACTGGAGTCTCAGACAGTTGATTTCCGTTGGAATTTGATCAAAAGGTCGTGTTCAACCAAACAGTAGTTTCTTGACTGTTTTCAAGCAAAATTCATTTTTCCTTCATATTTCTTCACTTTATTTCCATTCAGACCGAACAAACTCAAAACAATCAAATCTCATGTACGCCGCATATTTTCCAAATTTGAAATATGTTCTACCCGACCGCAAAACAACGGCTCATAGAACCATGTTTAAACTTTGCAACTAGGAAATCGTTATGTGTCCAATTATGCGTTTCAAAATAAAATATATATAAAAAAAAAGGTACCAACAAAACATGTTCGCACTTGTGTTCACCCCGAGCCAATTTCATAAATTGTATTTCTGTTTTCACTTCGAAAAAGACAAAAGCGACTTCTGAAATGGATTATTAAATCGTCGTGTATTTCAGTGAGTAATTTGGTTTGTTGTGTCTGTTGCGGAGTGTCGGAATCAAATCGGCCAGAGTCTGATTCGTTCGCATGGCGTTGAATGATTTAGTTTTTATTTAAAAAAACACAGCAATAATGGAAGCAAAACGTTTGCAACGTCGTCATAATGTTCACACGAAGTTGGTTTGAGAGCGTCAAAGATTTCCCAAGCCAGTCTCGCGAATGTGGTTTTTTACTGTTTGCTCTCTTTCCATTTCGTTTGCACAATGTTTCCGTCGTCGTAGTCGTCGATGTTGAATGCAACGAGCGCATTTAAAAATTGTTATGTGTGACGCAGTTTGCGCCAAAGTGTTTCAAATTATAATTTCATTTTGTGTGAGCATGAGCTAACTCCGCTTTTTCATGGCATTCATAATTTAATTGCGGTGGCAGTGCAAATCAGAGCTGGACATTTTACATCGGTTTCAACTCTACACTTGCCAGTCTCTGTGTGTTTCTTTCTGCCTATCTGTATAATTTACGAATCGCTTTTGATTTACGGTAACCAAATTCGAATCTCGTCTATTGTTACGCGCTTGAACGCGCGCACGCATTCATACACAATTTAAGTGAAAAATGCCATTGTTTTAGCATGCGTGCGCGATTTCAATTAGCGAAACGACTTTTCGAAACGAAAACGACAAGTGAAATGATATAATAATAACCTAATACGAGATGAATTACAATTATAAACTCGACCAAAAGCGAACGCGAGAGATTATGAGAGATGAATGTGGGTCGACTGAATATTATGAAGTGTATTCGCACCAATGGCAGATTGCGACTTAAAAACGTGCGAAATTTTTAATTGAATTATTTTGCCAATTTGATCATGGGCTATTGGACGCGATCATTTTGGTTTTTGACTGTTGAACATCGGACCGTTTTTCATATGTAAGTTGCTTGTCTCTCTTTCTCGATTTCGAACCTTTTTTTTCTTTAGAACTTTGGCTATTTTGAGCTCCTTATCTCTCTCTCTCTCTCTCTCTCTCTTACACACACCTACACTTTCGATCGCTCTTTTTTTGTCTTTCCCTTCAAACCCGCTCTACCGATCTCTCTCCTTCAAACTCACTTTATCAAGTTCTCTCATTCAATTTTTCTCTATCGATCTCTCTTGCTTTATCTGCTCCTTCTCTCTCTCTCTCTCTCTCTCTCTCTTACTCTCTTTTTCCCCATTTTCTCCCTATCTTATCTCAAATTTTCGTGATTCGTGACTAGAACTCATAAATTTTGCGTAGAATTGGAACGCCATAACACACATTTGATATTCCTTGACTTCGACCTGAATTCGGAACAAAAACCTTTTCATAAATTTCTGTCCGAAAAAATTGATTACATTTTTCAAAGCATAGCCTCCAAAATGAAAGTGTTCATTTGTGATTTTGCAATGCCACGTGTGGTATATGTAACCAAAAATTCAATTAATCATTCTCAATGTGCGATAAAATTGATATCACTCAGACTGTTTATCAAAGCTTCCTACCATTTCGTTTCGCATACTGTCGCTCCCAACCTACATTCCGTTTGTGGTTTACATTAAAATTTGTCATTACCACACTAAATCACATCATAATATTTGTCTCTATTGAAGTAATATAGATAAAATGACACCGTTTTCGTTACAACGCTATCATATGCCTACCCACCGTCAAAGCCGTTTTTATTGACTTTACCACCATTGTATGATTTTGCAATGTATTTTAGCATACCGATGAATTTTAAATGTGAATTATTTGAAATAGATCGGAACAGTTTGAACAATTTCGATTTGGATGATCGCAACCAAATTCTTGCCACGCCAAAAATGTCAAAGCACTACATCACGGAATCGTTAAACAACATGCAATTTTACAAACTGTTTACATTTGTCGAGGTTTTGCCATATCTCGTTGCGGTGGCTGACAGTGAGAAAATGTGAATTTTTTTTTCGCGGCGCATTTTTATAGATTCCATTTTTGGTATACAGTTACATAATCACAGCGTACAAAAGAACAGAGATACGTTGTGTACGATCGAGCGTATATGTCGATTGTTATGCACAATCCATTGCCAGTGTCAGTTTTGCGATACATTTTTTAGATTAACATCGGAGTTTTTGCGTTCTTTTGGTAATATTAAAGATTTTTTGCCATTGAACCCGTGTCTTTCTTTTTATTTACTCTCTCACACTCAACATATCCGACGGAATTTAAATTCACATTGAAAGATGCACATTTTGCTTTTAATTAAATCTTACCGTTTATGGTTTTCGTTTACTTCATTTGACTTTGCGTTTCAAATGTACTTGGAAAAGTCACACCAGTTTTTTTGAAATTTAACACCCAAACGGATGAACATTTTGCGTTGTGATTAATGCGGTTTTTTGCACCGTTAGTGATATTTAATGAAGCGATGAAATAACTTAATACAGTTAATGAACTTGCAGATTAGAAATGGTTTCTCACATTTGCGGAGAGTTCTAAACGATTGCAGTTTGGAAAAGAGAATTGAGTGCGATCGTTTGGCATGAACCTTTTTAATGGGTATGGCGATGCCATAAAACCATGTGAGAGACGCGAAAACAATAAAATAAAGAAATAAATGCGAACGCTGATTAGAATTGGTAATGGATTGGAAATGTTCGGATTTAATTGATTTGACCGAATTTCTTCTCTTAGAAGTAAGATTTCTCATATCGGCAGAATCTCAAGTTCGGCACTTCACAAAAAAAATTAATTAAAATTTCTTCAAAGCATTCGATTCAACGTTCGAAAGAGTTCTCTGTCTGGTTAAGAGGCATTTTTTTATATTTCCGGTATTCCATTCTCGCAAAAGGATGGATAAATGGTCGTATTTTTGTGTCGTTTGACACTTTCAGCTCTGTGCATTGAAATATTTGATGAAAAAACCAAATAAACGAAATAAATTTTGTTCTGGCATGTTCATAGTGCTAATCATGTTTGTAAAACTCATAGTTTCAACAACCAAATGAAGACATCTTTTGTGAATCAAATAAAAGATCGGATTAAAAGTATGACAATACGCTAATAACGTTTAGGTTTCTTTGTTAAAATAGCGATCAATCTTCGAAATTTGAATATCAGATCATATCGGAAACAGAAGTAAACAAAGGCACAATGGTCAAAACTCAAAAGCGTCTCATTTAAATAGGTTTTTGTGCATTTTACATTCTTCAATTTATGATTTATTTTCCCGTTCACTCATTTCCTCAGAGTATCGTTAATTTGTTTTAAAATCATGTATCATATATGATCCTTTCATTTTAAAACAGTAGAATTTGTTGAAAAAGTCAAAAAAATGTGTCGGTTTTCGTATTAAATAATAAAAATAAAGAGGCTTACGTACGCAAGCTGACTTTTCCGCATGGAACCGAAATTTCGGGAATAAACA